TAGGTGCTCACGGGCGGGCGCTACACGGAGAAGGCCGACATCTACAGCTTTGGCGTGCTCATGGCCGAGCTCGACACGCTCCAGGTGCCGTACGCAGACTTGCTCGGCAAGGCGAGCGAAAACGGTTTCTCGAACGCGCGCCTGGCCATGATGGTTAGCGAAGGCGAGTTGCAGCCGTCGTTCACCGAGTCGATGCCGTCGGAGCTCCTCGCGCTCGCCCGCGAGTGTCTCTCGTTCCACGACAACGACCGTCCGTCGGCGATCCAGTTGTCGTACAAGCTTCACAAGATTCTCAACGAGAACAAGGCAGGCTACCAGTAGACTGGTCGGCCATGCCTTTATATTAACGTTGACACGAGAACTACTGTAGTATTCTCGAAGTCCCCTGGTGCTTATACTTATAGTTGCTACAATTGTACAAGATGCAGGACAGGCAGAGAGAGCAAACGCTTGGCAAATAATGCGTCTGTTGAAACTTCAAATTTATGCTCACAACCCTGTCGCCAGACCAGGATTGCGGCCGCGCCACCAGGCAGCATCAACCAAGGGATTGTAACCAGCCCTGACGACGTTGATGTTTGAGCGACGGAGCAGATGTGAGTTGTCGACGTGCTGTGCAGTGGGACGCAGCCACAATGCATCCATCGCGACCGCAAACAACGCCAGAGAAATAATGGAGCGATGACGTGCTGACGCACACGTACACCTTTGTGTCCAGCGAACGATGGTGTTCTCCAACAAATAAGGTATCTTTATCTGCGGAGAAGTAGGGAGCTGCGGTCACAGATGTGGTGTCCTGGTATGGCTCTCGCTCGTCGAGCCTCGCCGACCAAAAGCACACACTTGGCCACTCGAAGTTCGAAGTAACAACCAATCCGTCTATACATTCACCAAGTGTGGGCGCTCACTGGCTTCTCACGCAAGGTTCGAAATACCTTGGTGTTTGTATGCAAGGCTGTCGTGGGACAAACCCCGTGTTGCGGCCGTCGATCGCGTTCAATTTTTGATCGTCGACATGCGAGGCGTCGTGTTCGTGGCCGCGCTCGTCGCGTCCGTGGCGGCCGACTGCGCGTCGCTCAAGGCCGCGTACACGCAGACCGCTGCGACGTGCCAGGCGGCGATCGCGCCCAAGAACATCACGCTCGGCATGGGCGCGCAGTTCTGCAACGAAACGACGTGCGCCGCGGCCGTCACGAGCGCCGCGGCATGGAAGGCCGGAAGCTGCGCGGGCACAGCCGACGCTATCAACAACGGCGTGTACCCTACGTCGTACTGCACGGTAATTGAGACTTTGCTCCGTGCAAGCAGCTCATGTCGGTGTGTAGGATTCGTGCCAGAAGCAGCTCTCGGCGTATGGGAAGCGGTCGACCGACTGTACCGCTGCGAACACGACGTTCGAGATCAGCAGCTGCACACAGTGCGCCAACATCTTTGCAGCTCACCCGAACTTTCAGCAAGTTTGCGGCATCAACTTCCAGAACGCCGACGACTACATCAACCAGTTCCTCGCACAGTATGCGAGCTCGATCGCGTACTGCAAGGTGCAGTTTCCGAGCGTGGTTTTTCCGTCGCCGCCGCAGCCGGCGTCATCCGGCTCGACAACGACGTACATTGGCATTGGCGCTGGTGTCGTCGTCTTGATCCTTCTTATTGTGGCCTTTATCGTCTACCGTCGCCGACAGAAGGCGGCAAGCAAGTCGAGTAACCACACGGGCACGGGTTACTACTCGAACAATGCGTCGTCGCAGTTCACGCACCCCAACGCGACCAACGGCGGCGCGGTTGCCGACGACATTCGCTTCGACATGGACCTTGCGCGCTTCCGCGTGCCCCAGCAGGAGATCCAAAACATTCAGCTGCTTGTCAAGGGTGGGTACGGCGTCGTCTTCAAGGCGACGCTGCACGGCACAGACGTGGCCATGAAGCAGCTTTTGCCGTCCAAGGCCAAGGACCACAACGCGATCCAGGTACATTTCTCCGTCTCATTCTCTGTTTCTGAACTTTTGATGCAGGAATTCATGAATGAGATTCGCCTCTGCGCGCGCCTCGAGCACCCCAAGATCGTCAAGTTTGTCGGTATCTCGTGGTCGACGCTTCACGACCTCGCGGTCCTCTCCGAGTTCATGCCGCACGGCGACGTCACGGACCTTCTCAAGGCGGAACGCAAGCGCCCGAAGAAGGAGCGTGTCTTCCACTGGCTTCCCTCGGGCGCGCACGCGACGACCAAGACGGCTGTGGCCGCCGACGTCGCGGACGCACTCTGCTTCTTGCACTCGTTCCAGCCGACGATCATCCACCGCGATCTCAAATCCAAGAACGTGCTTCTCAGCGCTACGTGGGAGGCCAAGCTCAGCGACTTTGGCATCTCGCGCGTCACGAGCAACGAGGAGACGATGACGTCCAACATTGGCACGGTCGCGTGGATCGCGCCCGAGGTACCGTCACGTATTATCGAGGTTAGGGTTTCTGATCCGAGTCCCTTAGGTCCTGACGGGCGGCCACTACTCGGAGAAGGCCGACATTTACAGTTTTGGCGTCTTCCTCTCCGAGATGGACACTCTCGAGTCGCCGTACTCGAACCTCACCGAGCAGAACCAGGGCCAGGGTTTCTCGAACGCGCGCATTGCCATGATGGTCAGCGAAGGCGCGCTGAAGCCGTCGTTCACGGACAACATCCCGGGGCCGCTCCTTGCGCTCGCGATGCGCTGCTTGGCGTTCTACGACATTGAGCGGCCGTCGGCGCGTGTTGTCGCGGACGAGCTGCGTCGGATCATGGGCTAGGGCCGCTTTAATGGTCGCAGCAACTAATATCTCTGTGGTGTCTGTGGTGTATACGTCTCAGTCTCGCGACGGAAGATCACCATCGATGACGAGAGTACTTGCAGAAATGCTCGTTCTTGGAGTTGCCTGGATCGCAAAACCTCTCGAAATGCATCCCTGTTGTATCCAAAAGAGGTAATACTGCAGCATTCGATACGCGAGCATGAGCATGCGGCGCCGGTGCACGGTCGCGACGCTGCGGGCGAGCTTCGCCCTCCTCTTCGTCCTGTCGCTCGTGCTCACGTGGTGCAGCCTCTACGCGGGTGGCTCCCTGCCACGCGCCACATCGACTCTAAGGCCGCCCAGCAATTTACGCGCCAGCACATCGGCGCCGACGGCCGGCGCGACAGAGCCTCCTGCACCGATTGCCAACGATGTGTACCCTGACGTCGGCTTGCCACCCGACGTTCTCTTGGGGCGCGTCATTGGCAACGCGCTGCCGCCTCGGTACGGTCAGGCCTGGATGCGGCGAAGCTCATTCACCTGCCTTAGGCATCACCCGAACCGGACTCTCGCCAACATTCGATTCATCTTGGAGCACGAAGACCTCGATGACGCGCGTGTTCAGAGCCATTGGGTGCTTAACCGCATCCTGGATCCCGCAGTTGAGGCCGATATCATTGCCCTCCTCACGCTCTTTGAGGCCAAGTTCGTCAAGACGCCTTCTTTCTCACGACAACGATGGTGACGATGCGCTTATGCTGTAGCTACTCGGTCATTCCGTTCGACGTGCGGGCGTACGCGGCTCAACCGTTCGCCCTCTTTGACGAAGACGACGGCACGGACCACTTGCACGCGGAGACGGCGCTGGACGCGTGGAACTCGAAGCTCCTCGTCTCGAGCATTTACGACACGAAGAACTTGTATGCAATGAGCATCAACCACGCGCGCAATGCCATACTGGACCTTGGGTGCGCCACGTTGTGCCATACCAATGAGGCACCGACCTACGTCGTAGGCATGCGCTTGGTGTGCGCTGGATTTTGCCGTGGGACCAAAACTGCTTTCTCACGCGGTCGGCGTGGAAAACGATCCGCGCCGACTTGGATGCATACCAAGGTGCCATCTTCCTCTTGCATCAATCCCTCATCGGTTGGCGCAGACGACGCGAGTACCAAGTACGTTGTGACGTGGATGGACCGTCTCCGCGTTGAGAACGACGTCGTCTTGGTGCCAAACTACACGCCGGACGCCTGGGAAGAACCGCAGATCATCTTTCGCAGCGACGCCGGCGAGCGCTTTGACGAAGCACTGCGGTAGTCCCCTGACTGCTCCACCCGCCAGCATCACCAGCGTGTGTAGATATGGGCGTCGGGACAAGGCTGCGCTTCTCGTGCGCCTCGGTGTGCCGGGCGTGTGGTTTGAGTGGGGCTGGAGTCAGTGGGAGCGTGCGCGTACGTACGAGAAGCCTGCTGTGGACTGCCCGTCGCCACCGCCGTCCTCGGGCTACGTTGTGCGTCTTTTCTCAGGCAAGGCTGTGTACGAGGGTCAAGCCAACGGGTGCAGCAGCTTCTCTTCATACCAATGTACATGTCGTTGTTCTTAGGTTCCACCGCGAGATGGCGCGCGCCGATGCAGTGACGACGATGCTTGAGACATTGGAAGCGCGGGCGATGGTCGACGCCCTGCAGTACACACCAACCCGCCTCGTGCTGTACGATCCTGACCGGCTTCGGTCGCTGGCGCCGCTGGCCTTGGCGCAGGTCCAAGCCAGGGCTGAGCGCGCCATGCAAATGAGCAGTCCAGCACAGAGGTCGATTTCGGATCGCTCGATGTACAGTCCGGTAACATTATATGCTATTGGTGTCTGTAGCTCATGCAACGTTAGGACATGTCCAACGATGCGATCGAGCGCGAGATGCGCCGGCAGTTTGACGCGTTTGTCGACGCGACGGCTGCGCTTGTGTTTGGCTACCTCGCGAAGCGCGACGACATGTATGCCACCAAGGCGCTCATGCTCGTCCACGCATGGTTCATTCAAGACAGAACCAAAATGCAGCCAGGTACACCTTCAACTGGTAGCTACTCAGCGCTCATACATCACAGTGCCAAGTCTCAAGGTGACGCAATCACTGCCCGTGCTCTGTGACGCGCTTCGTTTGCTGGAGACGCAGGCGAGCAGCCTCTTCACGGCCGGTATCGCGATGCATGTGACAACCTGGATGAAGGAGTATCTCTCGGCGCTGGTGGACCCCGAGAAGGCTCGGAGCTGGTTTGTTTCGCGAGGCGCAACTGGTACGACCTCCTGGACGATGCTCGAATCACGGCTGGTGCAGGATTGAGCTACGATATGCAAGTCGCGACTCTTTCCGCGTACGTCAACGACCCGGCGCGAGCTCGGTACCATCTGCACACGGTGCAGTCGCGCCTCCTCGCACTGCCGACGGGAGACGACGCTGTAGAGCAATTGCGCCTGTATGTGCAGGTCGCCGCCATGGGCGTTTCAGCGGGCGCCGACATGTGGCAATTCGAGGCCCCGGCCAAGCCGAACGTGCTCTGCACCGCGGTGGCGGCGCACGTGTCGTGCTGTGACCCCACCACCGACCACATATGTGCAGCAGCCGCGACCAATGTATCGAGTATCTATGCTCGGGGGTGGGACCTCTTGGATGTCGCGCTGCGGCACTGCGACGCGTGGAGCGCAGCGTGCCCGCAAGTGCGCGACCGTGTGCGAGCGACGGTTGACAATGCAGCCCATTGGCAAGACCTCAGCGCGGCGTGGCTGGCGCACTCGATACCTCCGTACCCAACGCTATGGCAATAGATGTACAGTGCATGATCAGGGTGTTTCGAGTGAAGCATAAATGGTCATTGCTCGTGATGGCGACAACCAGGTTGAGTGGCCGAGCGTCGACGAATGCTGCGTCAAGAGCTCCAGAAGGTGGGAGGGTGGGAGGGTGGGAGGGTGGGAGGTCTAGTAGAGTACCGGTAGAGCAGCACCTTGCAGGAGAGACTCGATCCTCCATATTTAAGCGGATTCTAAAAGACTGGGCATTCGATCCATCATGACGTGGCGGCTTGTGGGCTATACATCACACTATCTTGTACAAGGTTCATAACAATACTATTTTAAACAACGTGTACACTATTTCAACCATATTTTAAATGTAGTGAAAATATCTCTCCATAACTTGCAAAATGCACATACAAATACATAGTTGCAAGCAATATTAATATAACAAAGAAAGATACCTCCACTCGGCGACGATGGACGCGACCGCAGCGACGACTGCGGAGGAGCAGCCGTCGATGGAAGAAGCGCTGCCCGGTGGAGCCAAGGACCAAGCCATGAAGGCTCCGCGGAAGATGGAAGCGCTGCGCAAGATGGACGAGGCCAAGCACCGGTCAGAGGGGGCGCGTTCCGCCATGACGTCCTCCAAGAGCATGGAGAACGTCGGCGCCAAGTTCTACGAGCTCACGGTCGAGGAGCGCCGGAAGAAGTACTCGATGAGCGCACGCAACTCGTCGTACTGGCTGAAAGTCGTCGCTCGGTCGCACTCGGACCTCTCGCTGCAAGCGACGGCGCCGATTGAGTCACCGCCCGTCGAGACTCTCCGCAGCAGCAGCTGGAAGACTGTCGAGTCCCAAGATACAATCGACGAGCCGAGCTGTACGAGCGTCGACGAGGCAGTCTTTGAGCACCAGCGGTACCAGCTTGTACTGGGCTGGGGTACGCCGACCGCTCGCCATCTCTGTACCGGCGCATACATGATGCTGATTGCATAGGGTCCAAGGGCTGCCTTTTGCCTCTCGACCCAAAGAAGTATGCGACAGCGTCTTACGAAGCGCAGTTTCCAGTCTTCCCGACGATTCCGCTGCCGTCGGAAGGCAGCGATGAGGGTTGCGGGCGCTGGGAGTGGGTCACGCCCTGGCAGATCCATGTTCACGCCGACACCGACAACGATGGTAGTCACTTCATATCCCGACTTGGCATGGACGCCCAACTCTGGACACTTTAGGATGGCGCTACTCGACGAGCTTTAGCCATCTCCGACTCGAGTCAACGGCCTGTTTTGGCTACCACCGCAAGACGACATTTTGCAGGCGACGCAAGTGGGTGCGTCGGCGTCTCTTCGTGCCGCTGCACTCGCCGTCGATGCTGCAGCCATGCGGCATGGGTACGATGACGACGTTTCGTCTACCGGTGATTTCACAGAGTACTAGACGGTGTGCTTTTGGAGCGCAAGTGTGGTTGGCTTCACAAGCTCGGGCATCGGCGCAAGAACTGGAAGCACCGTTTCTTCGTTCTCGACGGGTCCGTCTTGCAGTACTACACGGATGACGTCAGCAAAGCCAAGACCCCGAAACTGAAAGGCGAGGTCCTCCTCTTCCATAAAGACACGACGGTAACGTACTCGTCCATCATCGCGCACTGTACTGCACCTGTAGGTCCATTACGCCGACGAGCCTGCGACCGGCCGCGCCTTTTGCTTTGCGATCGATGCCGGCGCGTACTCTCTTTTGCTCCAAGCACCATCCGAACTTGATCGTGAAGCGTGGATTTACGCGATCGAAGACGCTATCTTGTGTCGCGACTCGTATTGTGCGCTCGACGACCAAGCGGCCGATGACAGGCGCAGCGAAGTCATGGTACGTTCCAAATGCAACGCTGTTATCCTACCCCTTGGAGTAGCGCCGGCGATCGCTGAGTGCGACGTCTGTGACGGCGTCCATGGGTGGTGTCCAGGACGACGACATGCACGCTTTGTACGACGCCATCGTGGGGCTCTACCACGATGCAACCGTACGCTCATAACCTGTAGCAAGGTCCCTTATCGATTGGTAGTCGCATTTTGTCAAAAAGTACAAATTCCACTTTCAAACCACGAGCAAGACCGAGGCCGTCGAGACAAAGGTCGTGCGAGCCCTCAAGTCGTATCGCATGTTTGTCGAGCGCACGCTGGCCAAGGTAGTTGAGAGATGGCATGTATCATCATCACTTCCGGTGGTGTCTACAGGTCCTTGACCGGTTTTGCGAGCACATGAAGCGCCAGGGCAACAAAGACGATGCGATTGAAGCCGTCTACTACAGCGCGCGCGAAGCATCCTTGGTACTCGTACATACATGCTCTGGAATGAAGACACACTTCTCACGTAGCGCTGCATTGAACGAGTCACTTTTCTCCCCCTTCACGTTTGGCGTCGTGTGACGCCGCAGCAGACTCATGGATGGCGTAGGATCTTCTGTACTCGATGCTCCAACTTTCGTTGGCAGGCGGGGATGCTGCGCTCGCAGAGTTTGAGAGCCGTCGGCGCTGGCTCGCAGAAAAACCTCAGTCGTTCTTTGACATCCGACCTGCTCACATGTATGTACACATTTGCCTATTCACTTGTGTCTCATCGTCGATTGTCGTAGATCACCGAGCAACTGGGGCGCGTGCACAGACAAGCTCAATGCACTCGACGAGCACGTGTTGCCGTCGGAGAAGGGTCTCGCGCTCGTCGAGGCTGCCAAGAGTATTTACGCCGTGTTTCACGCCGAGCACACGAGCGTCAACGTCGAGCATCTTGCGGCCGACGACTTCCTTCCCATCTTCATCTACGTACTGTGCCAGAGTTCCCTCACCGAGCTGCCTCTCACACGTCGCGTACTGAGCGAAACGACGATCTCATCCATCATGATTGGCGAAATTGGCTACTACACGACGATGCTCGAGGCGGCCGTCGAATTCGTTTGCTCATATCACGGGTAACCTGGCTACTTGTTTCCGTTCTATCCTAGTCAAGTTTGGCACTGGCGCGGATGGCGTTGCCGGTCATGGCGCGCTTGATGGCCTGTCGCAGTCGGTTTACGAGCTGAACGCGCGCATTGCTGCTCCCGCCAACCAAGTCGTCTTCTGCGTCGTCGCTGGTCGCCCCTTCCTTGTCGTGTCGTACGGGGTACGCAAAGCGCTGGTTGATCTCGGGAATGAGGCGCGCGAGGGCCGGTGCCAATTGGTCCTTGGCGTGCCACGTCGCGAACCGAGGTTGGGTGTGCGACTGCACGAGTGTCGCGAGTGTCTCCAGCACGAAGACAGCGTCGTGGAGCTAGGTGCTATCTCATCAGAGTTTAGAGGCATGCAGAGGTCGTACCGCACACTGAGCATCCAAGAACGAGTCGCACATGGAGGGAAAAAGACCGGGCAGCAGCTCAAAGAAGCGCGTCGGGTCGTTCGCGCTGCCACTCAGGAGCTGCGAGAGCGTCCAAAGCACATATTCAGCTGGATACAGTGCTTGAAAGCGGTCGTCGGCGCTCCATTTCACCATACTGGGTACGGCATGCACATACGAGCCGAAGCTGGCGTCCACGAGCCCACAGAGCACGAGGACGCGAAGCGCAGCCTTCGTCGCCTTGCCCTCGGGGTCGGTCGCGACGACACGCAGACACGCCCGCAAAATGCCGGCGTCAAAAAGGACGGGAACCCACACCATCGGTTGCTTCTGCACGCTCCAGAGGAGGAGCTGCGAAATCACAATGAGACTGTCGGCGCGGTCGTCCATCGCGGCGCCATCGAAAGTGATTTGCCGCTCGATCTACGCAGGATAAGCCGCGCAGCCAAGAATGTCGCATCGCACCATGGGCACGAGCGGCTTGAGGATGGCGAGAATGGCTGACGAGGCCACGACGGATGCTGAAATGTCCTAGAATTTGATCGATACCGTGTGCATTACCAATGAAAAAGCACCTTGGAAGATGTGAGCTCGAGAAGCAGCCGAAGAAACGAGAGAGATGACACTTCTTCCATCTTGGCCACGTGCTCGGGCGTCGAGAAGAGCGATGCGAGCCGCTGCAAGATCGCCGGGCACGTTTGTGGGTGCTGGAGCATGCGGTCGCGGAGGACGTAAAGGTAACGCAGCCACTCCATCTGGAGCAACAACGATTCGTCGCTTGAGCGAGGCCGGTGCAGCAGCGAAGCTGCGATCGAGCAGCAAGCATCCGTGACCTGGTAGTAGTTCCAGTCGTCGTGCGTCAGCGCCGAGAGTGGCGAGTACGTCGTGTGGTAACACACGTAGAGTAATTTAGCGTCCTCAGAAGCAAGCGACTACGATCGACACATGAGCTGGCATGGGCAAAGCATTGCAAACCTCGAAGCGGAAGGCGTCGAGCCCTGATGGGACTTGGAATGGGATGCAAAAGCATTGCACGAGAACGCAGGCGGCGGCTGCGCTCATGGCTGCGTCAGTCTTCGCGGCAAGCTCGAGCGCGTTGAGGAAGAGCGGACGTGTCACTGGAAATTGCGACTGGTCGTGGCCATGCATACGCTCAGCGAGTGCGCGGAGGTCCGAGGCCGACGTCATCGGAAAGTCGAACTGCATCGCATCGTATGCATCCATCGCCACATCATGGGCACTCTTCGGGACGCGCTGCTCGGCCTCGTTTGCGGCCAGCGCCTGCGCCAGCGCCTGGACAAACTCGTCTCGGGACATCTCCGTCATGGTCCTCGCTCGCTCTGGTCGAAGTTGCACTGGTCTTTCAAAAAAAACCACCCAGGACCGTCAAAACGCAAATACCCTCTGAAATGTATGTCCATCTTTCTTGTCTGGTGGGTCCCCCCACCCAAGGTCAGATTTAAATGTACGGCAAGAAACCGATACGGACCATTTGCGTGCTGAATCACGTCTAGCCTGCAGCACAGGGTAGCTGCAGCGAGGTAGTTCGTCCCTGTAGCGTCTACGACCCAAGAAAGGACAGGCAGGGTGTCGTTGTGAGCTCAGCGTCTCGGTCATTTGTTGTCAGCCGCGATGGAACTTTTTCAGCAAAGAAATGGTCCTTTGCAATATCAATTCTCGAAGGAAGTTATCGCTCGGTTGGGGCCAGGAAACACCGACGCAGCGCGATGGACGACGATGGTAGGTGCAGGAACGCAGCTTCAGAGGCCCGGTGGCATCGAGTGAAGCTTGTACCATGGCCATGCCATGGCCAATGCATACGGCTTACATGGCTCGTGGCTTGTAGATCAAGGCAAGGGCTACGCCTGGGAAGGCTCGTTCGAAAGATCGTGGGACGGGATTGAAGAGGACGAGAGCGGTGCGCTCAAGCTCGGCGCCTTCATGACGTCTTCGGGCGACAAGTCGCGCTTGCGTCGCCAAGAGATGCTGCAGCGCGTGCGCAAAGGTGTGCGCGCACTGAGCGGACCATGGCAGCTGATGCATCTTGGATCAACCTAGGCCTCATTCGCTACGTCTACGTCATCATCGACCTCTCCAAGGGCATGAGCCAGAAGGACTGGAAGCCGCATCGCTGCGCCGTTGTCACGGAAGAGGTGCAACGCTTCGTGGCCGACTACTTTGACCAGAACCCAATCTCCCAGGTACGTGAACCTCGTCAACTTGCCTTTCCTACCTCGCGCATAGCTGGGCTTGATTGGTATCAAGAGCTCCGTGGCAGAAAAGCTCAGCGACTTGTCGGGCAACCCGGGGCATCACATCGACATCCTCAAGCGCACGATTACTGTGCACGGCGAACCGAGCCTCCAGAACGCACTCGAGATGGCCAAGTCGGCGCTCAAGACGGTGCCGTCGTACGGCTCGAAGGAGATTGTCGTCGTGTACGGCAGCCTCACAACGACGGACCCCGGCGACATCTTTGCCACGATCGCGGCCCTCCAGAAGGACTCGATCCGGTGCTCCTTTGTGGGCATTGGCGCCGAGATGCACCTCCTGCGCCGCATCGCCAAGGTACGATTGTCATCGCATACACCAGAGTCCAACGAACTGCAGGACACGCAAGGGACGTACTCGGTGGCGATGGACCCCAACCATTTTAAAGATCTCATCTCGGCCTTCACGATCCCGAGCCCGAGCCTCGCAACGTCGGCAACCAAATTCGCGACGCTCGTCGAGGTAACACCCAAGCTAGTCGCTCCACAAACTCAACGCGTCTCTAGATGGGGTTTCCTCAGCGACGCAGCGGCGCGCTCTCGCTGTGCGTCTGCCATCAAGTGTTTACGACCACGGGATACCTCTGTCCTCGCTGCAAATCCAAGAGCTGCGAGCTCCCGACGGTCTGCGCCGTGTGCAACCTGCCACTGGTATGCGCTAGTCCATGTCTCGCTCGCTGCAGATCACGTGTAGGTGTCATCGCCGCACCTCGCGCGGTCGTACCACCACTTGTTCCCGATCGCCAACTACGAAAAGCGCACGGCGGACGAGCTCACCACGCGCAAGTGCTTTGGGTGTCTCGGGGCGCTCCAGAACATGGGCTACGAATGCCCGACGTGCTCGCATGTGTTTTGCAACGACTGCGACCTGTACATCCACGACTCGCTCCACAACTGCCCCGGCTGCAAGTGAAATACATAACGAGTTTGCTATGCTGGCTCAGTATCGCAAGCCGCTGGCTTTAGCAATGCATCTACCTTGGACAACGCAGACGTGGCAAATGACGAGTTGTATGAGGCACACGGCTTACTTGCGGCCGCGCTTGCCCTTTTGCGGCCCCTTCTTGCGCTCCTTGGGTGCCTCTTCTTCGGCGCCGGCCTTCCCGCCCTTCTTCGAGACGACGACCTTGGCGCCCTTGCCCTTGTTGCGCGCCGCGTTCTCACGGGCGGCCTTCATCTTGGACCGCTTCGACGGAAGCGCAATGCCCTTGCGCTTCTGCTGTATCCGCTGGAAAAGCGTCATTTGCTTGTCGCGGTTCGCACGTTCCTTCTTCTTGGCGAGGTGCGCCAACAACTGCTCTTGCTCCTACGCATTGGCCTTGGGACGATGGCTCCACGGCTACTAGCGGTACCTCGTCGCTGAGCTCGTCCTCCGAGTCGCTCTTGAGCTCACCAACGGTCGTCGTGACGGTCACGACGTTGCCAAACTTGTCTACGCTTATATGAGACGACCACGGAATCGCATCCGATTGTACCTTGTGTGTGGGCGTCGTCAAAGTTGACGACAGCCTTGTCATCGTCCTCGGCCACGTGCTTGACATCGACCACTTCCGGAATGCTCTCCATGAGCTTCTTCTGCTCGGCCTTGCGCTATCCAAAGGTGCATGAGCCCATATCATCATGCGTGGAATCGTACGATCTTGCGCTGCTCGATGAGGATCTTTTGCTTCTTGAAGGCTTCCATGTCATGGCCAAAGCGCCGGCGCTCCTGCTTGCGCTTCGAGAAGCCCGTGAGGTAGTCCCTACACGCAGATCGCATGAGCACGCGAGGCGACGGCAGATGCCACGGACTTGCGCTTGTCTGCGTCAAAGGTCACGACGAGCTTGCTCTTCTTGTTGACCTTGGCCTTCGTCTTCATGCTCGAATATGACGCTGTCGGGTATAATTGGCTGGGAGCTGGCACAGGGCTGTTCCAACGACTAAATTCGGCACGCCGTGCCGAATTCAACATAGCAATATGCCGAATCCCACCAGGGTGCCACCTCGACAACACGGAAATGGTGTGAGATAGGGATCGGCGCCGTGGACACCGAGGGACGCGGCCGTGCACCCTCGGGCAGCTCCTCTGGCTACCTGCAAGCTCGTGGGCTGCTGCAGTGCTGGTGTCAATACATGTAATCGAAAGAGATTACGTAGAGGTACATACTATTAGCAGAAGATTGGCAAAGGAAGAGTTTACTGGTTGAGCTGCTGGAGGATGGCCTGGACAAGGCCGACGCCGTAGCCCGTCGCGCGCTCGTCGTCCGTGCTCACGGGGTAGGCCATGTCGACATGGATCCACTTGCCGTCCGTCTCGTACGCGCCGAGGTGGTTGGCGATGAACTGACCGGCGCAGCTCACTTGGGCGTTGGCGCGGTTCTTGACCGAGTTCTTCATGTCGGCCACGGCGCTCTTGAACTCGCCGCGGAAGAACTCGGGCACATACGGCATCGAGTGGCAGAGGTCGCCCGACGCCTTGCCGGCGCGGACCGCGATCGCCTCGAGCTCGTCGCTGTTGGTCACGATGGCACCGACGCGGTTGCCCGTGGCGATACCCTGCGCGCCCGTGAGCGTCGCCATGTCCAAGACGACCTCGGGGTTGAGGTGCTTGACCGCGTACGCGACACCGTCGCCGAGCACCAAGCGACCTTCGGCATCCGTGTTGTTGATCTCGACCGTCTTGCCCGAGTACATGGTGTGGACGTCATCGGGGCGCGTCGCGTGCGGGCCCACCGAGTTCTCGGCGAGGCAGAGCACGAGGTGCAGCGGGTGCTTGATGCCCGCGTTGCCCGAGGTGACGGCGGCTTCAAAGGCGCCAAGGAGCGCCGCCGAGCCACCCATGTCGCGCTTCATGCCGACCATGGAGCCCGAGATCTTGAGCGAGAGACCACCCGTGTCGTACACGATGCCCTTGCCGACGAGCGCGACACTCTTGGCGTCCTTAGATTCTTCGGTCGGGTAGTGGCTGAGCACGACGAGGGCCGGCGGGTGGAGCGCGGCTTGGCCGACGCCGTAGATGCCGCCAAAGCCACGCTCACGGAGCTCTTCGCCGCGAATGATGGTCACCTCGGCGTTCGTGCGCGCGGCGACGGCCTGGGCTTCGGCAATGTACGCATCGGTGTGGAGCTCGTTCGGCGGCGCGTCGACGAGGCGCTGGGCGAGATGGACACCGTCGGCGGTCGCGTTCAAAAACGACACTTCTTCGTCCTCGAGGCCGTCGTTAAAGACGACGTGGACGCGGTCAGCCTTGACGGGCGTCTCGGCCACACCCTCGACAATGACGCCCGAGAGCGACGCCGACTTGTGGCTGTAGTGCGACACGCCCTTGGCGACGGCGACACCGGCGGCCATGAGCGTCCGCGAGTGCTGCGGCAAGGCAAGACCAACAAGCGTCTCCGACTTGTCCGAGACGTTGCCCTTGACGATGGAGCTGATCGAGTGCGGGCGAGCGAGCGAGTTGTGGCGCGAGACGGCCGTCGGCAGCTGCGCGACGACGCAGCTCACAACATGCTCGCCAAGCGGCAGGTAGAGATGCGACGACACGGGCGTGTCCGTGTTGGGCGTGAGCTGCGAAATCGCGTGCTGAAGGATCTTCAAGGTCGACGCCGGGACGCTGGCCTTGGCACTCTTGGGCTCGTGCGCCTTGCTGACCGTGTGCAAGAGCTGCTCGAGGATGCGCCCACCGAGCTCGACGCCGGGCGTCTCCTTCGTGCCGATGAGAATAAGCTTGGGCAAAGCGCCGTCGGCGACGATGCTGCCGATGCTACCGAGGAAGCGGACCATCCTTGGGTGTGTCGAAAGCCGCAAATTCGAAAGTGGTCGATGTGGCTCAAAACCAAGTTGCCCTTTTCCGGATCTTGCTGCCAAAAAGAGGGACGTCGGAACGGCACCGATATAGTGTACGTGGCACGGCTGCCAAGCCAGGATATGGATTCCGACGGCTTCGGTCACTGACTGGCGCCAGTATCAACCGGGATCTGTGCGTGGTCCTGGAGCATAATCGTTCACTGCCCACGTCATGAGGCTTCGCTCGCAGCTTTCTTGAGCGCGTTGGACTGTGTAGTACAAAGGAAATCCTACCTTCTGGTAATCTAACTTTGCAGTAGTCGCACCGGGTAGGTTGAGCTAGCTGTGAGTGCCCGTGGAAAATACTAGCGTTAGTGATTTGCATCACTCGAATTGGCTACACACGGCCTTATTAAGTACACGTACACAATGGGAAGCACAGGTAGCTTCGTACATATTCCATAGCTTTTCAAGTCAAGTTGTCTAGGGAGGTCTGATTTCCAATTCAATAGGCCAGCTTCGCGTCATAGCAACACATGAGGACGAGGGCATCATCTTGGTCATCGCGAAGCCTCACCTCGGTCTGACGCCCCATCCAACTTCAACCGGTCGTTCAACCCTGCCTTCAACCATCTTGCGTACTTCACACCCGTTTCTGGTTACAGTTGACCTCTTTCTGTCTTTTGCCAGCACATTTGGTTTTGAACTAAATAGTGTATGACGTCTTTCTTTCGAGGTGCTGCGTTCCGTCTCAAATCGAGTCAAGATGTCGCATGTATAAATTACTGTTATGCATACCATTTAAAACGGTCGGGCGACCTAAATTCGGCGTGTGTGCCGAATCCAAGTCTCCTCCAAGGATCACAGCACGCACGTCCAAGGCAAGGACAACAGCGCGCAATCGATAGTCTTGTTGCGTGTGGCAAAGAAGCACTCGAGGGCGTTTATCGTGCGGGACATGTATTTCCACCCAACTAGTCCGGCGCCGAAAATAAGACGATTTGGCATAAACACGGAGCCGACGTGTAATCAGAATGGCGACCGTCGCATCGCTGTGGGCGGACGTCGTCGCGTACGTGTCCAAGTCGCTGCCCGAGCGCGTCGGCGCGGCCCGGCGGCTGCTTGACGAGTACGGCGGGTCGCAGGCGATGGCACAGACGCTGCATGCTGCCACAAGCGTCCACCTCCGAGCTCTCCTCAGCACGGCCTCGGACGTCCTTTCTGGCAGCGACGAGGCTGACGTATCCACTTGGTACTTCCTGCTGGCGGCTTCTGTCGCCGCCATGGACCCAGCAGTGGGGCTTCAAGACGAAGCGGCGATCGTGCGTCTCCTACGTCGCGTCGGGCCATTCATGACGCTGATGCCCGTAGCATTGGCCGCCTCGTGGCTGCTTCTCGGAGCGCGCTGCTTGGAAGCGCTCGAGTCGAGCGAACATGGCCGCGAGTACATCTGGGAGGGCATCGTCCGCGCGTTCAATCAATGCAGCAGCTTGCCGCCTGACGACGTTGCGGCTCTCGGGCGAGCTATGACGGGCCTCTTGAAAAAGGATAGCGATCTCATCTACAGAAATGACTTCCGGGTACGCTCCTCCTGTTGTGGCGACTTGCTATGATGGCATGGCGCCAGGTGTGCGTCGATATTGTGCTCCGTGAAGCCACTGACCTTGACTTGGACGATCCTCGGCGAATGCCCGTCGCTGACGTCCTCTTCCACTCGGTCGCTTCCAAATTCTTCATCGACACAGGTATGTGAAGCCATTTTCAACTGAAGCTTATGCTAAACAGGCGGGTACCGGGCGGCAGCTTTGGCAAGCGTCGTGCAGCACTGGCGCGCCGAGCTCGACGCACAGCGACCTGGCGATGCGACGATCGACGCCAAGTTGGCTCGTGCCGCCGAGCACCTTGCGCAGTATAAGCACATAGAATAATAGAGCGATTGATTTCGAATGGTCATGATGATAGTAGTCGTAAAGTAAGGAGGTCGAGGCAGTCTACTCCTTCTGGAGGTGCTCGAGGATGAGCTGGAGCTGCGCCTGGACGTCCTCCTGCACGTTGAGCTTGTCGGCTTCAAGCTCATCGTGGTGCGTGGAGAGGAACTTCTCGAGGGTCTTGGCGGCCTGCTTCTCCGAGACGGGCGTCACTTGCTTCACCTTCACGCTGCCAAGCACGTCCATGGTCGAAGCTTCAAGTTGCGAATGATGGAACTATCCGGATACGCGCTCTGGACCGGGGGCTCCCAGCCAGTCGCTGGTGACTGGCGGACCACCACCCCCCACCTCGCGAAACGGCCACCCCCTACTCCACCCACGTGGCACGCCGACCACCACGCTGGTCGTTACACCCAACTTTGAGAATTGCGCGCGGCTCCCAACAGCGATGCGTTGCTGCGGTGCACATTTCGCACGTGCGCACATCACGAACGACATGTTGTCCGTCCTGGCACATCCTTGTAGGCGCGTCACATCCTTCCCCGCGACGACACTGGTCGGTGGCGAAAACAAGTTGCGTGAAATCCTCCGGCTTGGGTTTCAGCACCGTGGATTCCACGTCACAGAGGCGACGAGTCGCCGCCTGGCCAAAAACCAGGCGTTCCACGTGGTAATAAAATGCCTCAGGTGGGTGACTATACTCTATTTTTGTATTGGAATGAAAAAAATACGCCTGTCGCGCGAGTCGGCGGTCGTGGATGTGGCGTCCGAAACGTATCTTCCTAATTAGGCACCAACTCAATGAATCCACCAATGAAAGCACGTTATATCGTTAAAAGTCCGAATGGAGCCCGCGTGAGTGTGTCAAAAGTCCGAATTAATCGAGACTGGGATTCAGCAAAGTCGTGGCAGCTTGGATTTGATGGGATGCGAGGATTCGGTTCCAAGATCTTAGAGTCCTCGGAGGGTGTTTCACTCCACTTGGTTTCGCCCGCCTGAATCCGCCTAAAGGAGCTCACTTTAGCTTTGGATGCACGGAGACCAAGTCCCTTGCACCACCAAGACTAGCGGCGTCACGTTGTTCGAAAACTACCAAGTCGACTCTTCCATCATCTACACGGGCTTCTTCTACATCGGAGCTTGTGACGAACCTGCCTAACATCGACTACCATGAAGACCATTGACCAAACCATTACCGATTCTACCAACAACGTGACGTCCGACACGGCGTCGTCCACCGACTCGCGTGGCGACCAGCCCGTGATGGACTACCCCAACACCTTTGAAGGCCCCGAGAAGAACCTTGAGGTCGACCTCGTGCCCGCCTGCGACGGTGCCGATCCGCGCGGTCTGCGCGCGCTTTCGCGCGCCCAGATCGACGCGCTTCTGGACGCTGCCAAGTGCACGATCCTCTCGCACGTCTCCAACGCGCACCTCGACGCGTACGTCTTGTCCGAGTCGTCGCTCTTTGTGTATCCGCGCAAGATGCTCATCAAGACGTGCGGCACGACGACGCTCCTCAAGGCGCTCCCGCTCCTCACCGAGTACGTGCGCGACCTCGGCTTTGCAGTCGAGAAGGTGCGTTACTCGCGCAAGAACTTTCTGCTGCCGGACGACCAGCTCTTCCCGCATACGTCGTTCGCGTCTGAAGTCGACTACCTCAACGACTTCTTCCCGAACGGCGCTGCCCACATCCTCGGCCCGATCAACGCCGACCACTGGTTCGCGTACGCGTGGGATGTCCACGAGCACGGCGAGCCGGTCACCAAGCCGTCGGTTGGCGTCAAGGAGCACACGGTGCACATCCTCATGCAGGACATGCACGAAGACGCAGCCGCGGCCTTCTTCAAGCGCGACAACGGCTGGGACGGCGCCGCCATGAGCGAGAAGAGCGGCATCCGCGACCTCGCGCCGGACGCCATCATGGACGCCTTTGCGTTCGAGCCGTGCGGCTACAGTATGAACGCGATCGACGGTCCGTCGTACTCGACGATCCACATTACGCCCGAGTCGCACTGCAGCTACGCCAGTTACGAGACGAACGACATGGTCGGCGCATACGGCCCGCTCATCCAGGACGTCGTCGGCGTCTTCCGCCCCGCCAAGTTTACGGTCACCATGTCGGTGGTTGGTGAGCTCACCATGAAGGACCACATCTTCAAGAAGAAGGACTTCAACGGCTACAAGCGCCGCGGCGGTTGGACGCAAGCCCACATGGACGGCGACATTACTGTCCTCAAGGCCAACTTTGCCCTCGTCAACTGAGTCGATTATTATAGTTATATTGTTAGTAGTTTAGTTGCATAGCCATGATAAGGACTCCCCTCCTGAAAAACAAGTTGTATATTTTGAAACGAAACGAGCAACTGGTTGCTACTAAGATAGCATGAACATGTACAGCCTCACCCATCTGGACCACAACATATGTTGGTGTATGGGGCTAGGGGATGGCACCACGGAGCGTGTGACGCGTCGCATCCGATCGCGGTGCCATTTTAGCGTAGCGTCATCGCCCACGTGATGACGAGATAGTAGTAGCTGTATCCTCTAGAACTAGACTGTCCATTTGACTGGTGTTCCCATGGCAACTGCAAAGCCCTCCTCGCGAGCAACGCAGGCTCATGCCGTCGCTGCTGCACGATGAATCACGCTGCCGCAAGGTACCTTCCCGATACCACGCGTTGCGGAATGCTCCGAGTCTCTGGATTCTTTTGTTATACTTGAGGCGTTCCAAATCCCACAGTTTTGGAAGCAAGGACTTAAGCTGTCGCGTTCGGGTAGTAGAAGGCCTCGACGACCTCCATGAGGGGTGGTACGACGTAGTGGAACGACACCGTGTCGGGCGCCGCGCAGCCCGTGCCGTTGAGCCATCCGATGCCAAAGTGGTCTGAGAACCAATTGTTCTCTTGGTAAATCGACGTGTACACCGAGTGGTCGAACGCGTCTTCGTCGTGGGGCTCGAAAAAGATGCGCTCGGGACTGTACTGGTGGAAGCGCTCGCGACCCATTGCGTCGCTAATACAAGACAAACTAAGATCTACGATATCACGGACGCTGTGTACCGCGTGTCGGCGGGCTCGATGCCGTGGTACCGCATGCAGAACGAAATGGCCCAGTCGTCCGGCACAATCTCGTCCGGAAGACAGTACGGCTCGTCCAAGCTCTCGACAAGCAACTAGTCGCCATGACAAGGTGCAGCATGAACGAGCTATCGTCTACCTTGAGGTACGGCGCGCTAAAGGCATAGCCGCCCCCACCAGGCGTGTAGTACAAACCACCCTGGTCTCTCGTCGCAGCCAGCGTGTCCTCGACCGCGGCGCGGCGCGCTGGCGCCATGCGGTCCAGTGACACGGAGTGAAACCACTCAAATTGGCGACGGAGCTCCCACCACTGCAGTGTCATGCGGTGACCCTATGCATACGTTGAGCCCAAGAGCACCGGCGACGCAGCTGTCTACGAGCAAATGGGGTCTTGACGCGTCATAAGGCGCGAGAAAAGTCCGAAGGTTGTCGACCAAAACGTACGTGTCGTCGTCGCACTTGAAGATCCAATCGTACGTGTCTCCGTACTCGCGCCAGAGGATGCGAACGATATCGCTACAGCAACTCAGACCAGTTGTCAACGCGTCAAGACGAACCGGTGCTTCTGCCACAGATGGAGATGCGTCGGTGGCGCCACAACGCGGACCGTTGGGATCGCCGGGTCGTATACGTTGCTCATGAAGACGACCTTGTCGCAGCGCCGGCCCCACGTCGCCTTGATGGACGCGGCGCGAGCATGGTTCTTCTCGTATGTGTTGACCCAGCAGAGGATCTTGGCGGCCTTTGCAGGTGCTGGAAGCGCGCGGACGAGCTCGAGTGCATGTACGTGGCGGCCCAGCTGTGCGCGGACGTCGGCGACCTGCGCGCCGACCAGCGCCGCCAGCAGCAGCAGCGTCAGCGCCAGCCTCGCCAGCATGCTTCAACCTGATTGGCTTGCTGCTCTTGGCAAAATACCATACGTGGCGTAATTTTACGGTGCATAGACGACGCGTTAAACAACGCCGAGGCGTTTTAACGTCTTTTACTTGGCGTTCAAGACCAATACCTGGTGCGATGATTGATGTCATCATTACTGTGACGACCGGCATTGGTTTGGCAGCATGAACACCCGCAAGGCCTCGCTATCGAATAGTCTCGACTGCTGTACTGTCAGAATAAAAAAGGTGTAGAACGGCGATACATCGAATTCGTACATTTTGACTTACATGTTAGTACGTCAACAAAGGGTTGTGCGGAGGAAACTCGCGGTTCTCTTGGAGCATGGCTGCGCACGCACGGTGCGCCAAGTACTGCACACATCGATTGTATTTGGAACGGGAGAGAGGAGCGCAGATGTACGAACAGTGATAACGACAAGCGCCGCGATCAGCAGAGAGCCGAGCACGATGCAAGCGACGTCCCAGCCGTTCTTGTCGCTGAACGACATGGCGTTGGTCATGTGCAGTAGCAGCATGATCTCGCCGCCGCACTGGAGCGCGCCAAGGAGACACGTGGCATAGTAAAACTAGCAGATCACGTGAGCGAGACATGATGGCGGCAAGTGTACAAATTCACAGAGCGCGGCCTGTCGCTCGAGGTTGCCTTTGGTGCAGCGCACGTCTAGCGGCGGCTCTAGCACACCATTCCATAGTACCCACATACAAGGCGCCAAGGCCCACCGGCAAACGCTGGTCGGTCCGACGTCATTTCTGACGCTACGTAGCCGATGGCGCCGACGAACAGCGTAAAGATGGCGGTCCACCAGATCGCGTACGTGAAGAGGAACGAGAGCACACTGAGGGCGACCATGGCACTGCAATGTCGGCTCAGCATCTCGCGCGGCGTCTGCTTCTCGACCAGCATGGCCGCCGTCGTTTGTGAAGCGGTTTCGCCGTCTCCGCAGGAATGGATCTGCATCACTGCAACGACCAGAAATGCGCAAGTCCAAGTTGCAGGCGCAGCAGAATGGCGCAACGGTGGCCGTTTCATGCGCAACCATGGCGACGACGAGCACCGACGACATTGGCCAGCTCTTTGACGAGATCGTCAACAAGCGGACGAGCGCGGTCTCGAGCGCCGAGCTGAGCACCGTGCTCCCGTTCACGGCGGGCGACGTCCAATTCATCTTGACCAGAGTCGTCGACGACATGCGGCAGCACAAACTCGAGCTGGAGAAAAAAGAGTTTACGCGGTACGTCAAGAAAGCCACGTCGACCGTCTCGCTCGCCCACGTCGTCGTGACGCTCCAGCGACGGCGACACATGAAGACCTTCTCCGAGTATTACCTCGCGCGGGGCGTCGCGGGCGCGCAGCTCGTGGGACCGGCCGAGAGTGCGACAGAGCAACCTGGTCGGTGCTCATCTCGAATGCAATGGTGCGGCAACGTCGGCTAGGTGGCGCGTCTCGGCGTCGCAATAGCCGTCCAGGCGACGGGCTTGGTGGGGATGCGGTCTCGAATCAAAGCAACGACCGGCCCGAGGTCGAGCGCGACACCAAGGACGACCCCCAAGCGCAGTACGCGGCGGTAAGTGTGACAGCTCGTGCGCGGTGCTCTTACAATGCGAAATAGCGTCAGCGCATCAGTCTGGTACGCGCCTGTCGCGCGATCAAGTCGACGACCGAGGTACGCTGCCGATACCGGCTGCAAGACACAGAGAATGGAAACTGCACAGGGCATCTTTGCGATTGCGTTTAACCGCAAGTCGCGCCGCCTCGAGCTCCACACCGTCGCGCCGTCGTTCGTAGCAACACCTTCCCTTCAACACTCATCGAGTCGTAGCACGCGCGCCGCGCAGATCTACTCGTCGCGGTACTTTGTGCTGCTCTTCTCGCGGGATGCGGGGCAACTCGCGATCGGCTGCACCGGGTACCTCGGCGGGCACATCTACTTGGTGCGCAAGCAGGGCTGTGCCCACTCGGCGCCGCCCGATATTCTGCTGACAAGCTATGTGTTTGCGTCGCGCGACATCACCGCCGTCGTCGGGCTCGCCGAGCCGGACCTTCAAATGCCCGCGACGTCCGATGCGCCTGCGACCGGGCTCATCACAGCCCCGCTCGACATGTACGGGACTCCAGCCTGCAGCTGGTGGAGAACCATCCTAGGTTCACGGCGAGCCACGTCGCGCACGCTTGCTGCAACCACGGCACCGTCACCCTTTGCGCCGACGAAGGGCTGCTCGAGTGGAGTCAAGCCGAGGTATAGCCAAATGATGACGCACCCGTTGTCACAGCGAGGTGCAGGTGGCAACAACTGCCACCGACGCGGTCCCGACGCCGCTGCTGACCGACGGCGAGTGCGCGTTTCCGACGATCGCACACGTGAATGCGATTTCTGCCGCTGCGTTCGTCATGCCTCGGATGCTTCAACAGGTATGCCATGCTCCTTCACAGACCCTCCAGATGCAACAGTATCCAGGCGGCGCAGGGCTACTGCCTGTACATGAGCCAGCGCGCCTTCATCCTTGAAGATGATGCGACACCAGCACCAATCAAGGCCATGCTCGACGCAGATGTCGCCACGATATGCGCACTGTGGACCGAGGCCAAGGTAGTCGTCGTCCCATCAACCTACTTGGAACATGCGAGGACAGTTCAAAATGGGCCCGCGGAGGATCCAACCCAAACTCAAAAACGTCAAGCAACTTGTCAACTGCGGCACCGCTTCGTACACGGCGCTGACCCGAGACGGGCAAGTCTATACGTGGGGCCAAGGTATAACTCACATATGCGTGAGGAGATAACTCAAAATGACAGACGCTGTCGAGAGCCTCGGGAGCCATGTTGCTTTGGACGCAACCAAGAGTAGCCCGCGCAAACTCCCGGGGTTTACCAAGCCAGTCGCCAAGGTGACCTGTGGTGGGCAGCACGTTCTTGGCCTCGATGAGGCAGGAGTGGCCTACAGCTGGGGCAGCAATGCCCACGGCCAACTCGGACTGGGCCATCTTAACGACAGTGACACACCAGCGCGTATCGCCATCGCTGGGGTACGACTTCCTCACCCTCTCTACCTGCTCATGAACTGTAGAGCCCCGTAATCATCGACATCGCTGCAGGCGACAACCACAGCTTGCTCTTGACCAATGCCGGCACAACTTTGGCGTGCGGCAACAACTGGTCGGGTCAGCTCGGCACCGGCGGCAGCGCGCACCTTGATGCAATGACGCCGGTTTCGTTGCCCCCCGAGGCAAACGAACCGCTATACCTGGTTCAGGCCGTCGGCGAGACGTCGGCGGCCGTGTCAGTAACAGGTATCTGCCTACTTGGCCAGTTTGACATCGATGACCTTGATGGCAGGGACCGTCTTTGTGTGGGGGCTCTGTGCCGTGCCGCTTCTCGGTGTCGTGACGCGGCGAACGCCCCAGAAACTCGAGTACGCGGCGATGGACGTGTACAAGCCAAGTCGGGGCTTTGGTCGCCTCGATGCCGTCGACACCATGTACGTGGTCACGTCGATCGCCCTCGCCGCCGGTTGCGTCGTTCTCGCGGTCGCCCCCGTCCCATATACCAAGCTGCCAAAGCCGTAGAGAATCGATCCAACTCTTTGTTACCACTTTCGAAACGTTGCAATCGCGCGGCCGAGGTCGCGCCGGTCGTGCATCGCGAGGCGGAAGCGATACCAGCGCATGTGCATAGCCGACCCCCCGACGCCAACGTCCAGCTTGGTAGGCTCGACAAGACTCTGCTCCAGTACTGCGATCGTCGAGACCGCAATCACCTCGAGCTTGTCATCGGTACACGCGTCGACAACGTAGACGTGCGTGGGGGAGACCACGAGCACGCACGGAACGCCAGCGTCCGACGGCAACAGCCACTCGGTGCTCATGTCAGCTAGCTCGTGCGAGGGCTGCTCAGCCAAGTAGAGCGCATGCGCGAAGACGATCGGACCGGTCACGGACCCAACGAGTTTCCAGCGCACAAAGAGCGCTTCGTGCCGACGGAGCGGTAGCATGGTGGACGCGACTGCGTCATTGCGCCCGCCGACACCCATTTCGACGAGGAGACCGTCGGTCGTCTTGGAGACGAGCGACGCCATACCGCTCATGGGCTGTGCGACGATGCCGACGAGCCCTTTCCCGACGCCGACGACGCCAGCACCGAGGCCCGTGGACCGGCCTTGCTCTTGGTTGTCGCGCAGGACACTCAACGGCGTCGTCACGACACCGGTCGCGGCACCGACGATCGCTTGGCCAAACGAGTGGAAGCCGTGGGCGAGTCCCGAGGTAAAGTTGACGGGCGGCGTCGTTGTCGCGGTGGCTGTCGACGCACTCGTGCTGATATGGTCCATGGACCGCGAAATGGCATGGGCGACGCCCGAGACGGACGAGAGCGTCGCGACCTAGTCGAGTCGTGAGTCTCGTGTTATAACGCAAGACGGCGACCGAAGTGTGGGTTGCAAAGGACACAGCGCCTCGGAAGAGGCCTTTCGTGATCGAGACGGGCGAGTAGCCTTCCGTAGCGACAGCGAGCAGCGGCAGGCGCACGAGGTCCTGAACACCCGAGCTCACGTCGCGCACAAACCCTCTATCATTTCTTGTGAGTTGCATGTTGTATGGACAAGGCGTTGTACGCGGGGTTCCCGAGGACGTTGAGGGACATGAGCACCATTGGCGTGCGCACGACAGCGTCAGCGACGTAGTTCGCTGCAAGGTCCTTCGCCAACTGGTCGTCAAAGCACAGAATGTGGGCGAGGTCCACGCCCGAGAGCGACAGCGGCGTTCGGTCAAGGCCGTACAAGAAGCGCGCCGTGATGGTCAACGAAACCGGAGAGAGAACGAGACGGCCAATGTAGCGTTTAGCCCGCATCGCCAGTGCAATTTGCGTCTCCAATGGCGGCTCCGTTGGCGTCACCTCCACTGCGGACGCTGCTTCCAGAAGCGGCGCAAGCCATCCTTGCAGCCGAACGAGCAGCAGATCTTCAACCTACCACATGTGCTCGAAACTAAGTGGAAGTGCTCTGCAAATGGCACCTGCAGGACGATGGGCGACACAGCGAGCTCGAGCGCGTCCGTGTACGAATGCGTTGGCACCCAGCCGTCGGCGTAAACGAGTCGCAGCGTCAGCGCGTGGGACTTGACGAGCGGCTCAATGGACACGGCGAGGAGCTGCGCATCGGAGACGACCGCATTCGACCGGGAGACGTTGCCGCACATCAAGGCTCTGGGAAAATTGCACTCGGGAAAAAAGTGGACGAGCTCCAACGCTTCAAACACCAACAGCGACGTTGTGAAGCGCTGGATGTGCGAGAGATACCCCAAAGCAGCTCGCTGCTTGTGACCGTCGGGCACAACGTCGCCCAGCGAGAGCGCCATGAAGGCGATTTGCTGCGCGTCCAGACGCAGCACCTCGGCGTAGCTTGGGCCGTCGTCGTGCACCACCACGTGGTCGTCAAAACAGCGCACGACGACGGCGTCGACGCGCACCGAGACGCGCGTGGCCGGCGCCGCGAGAGGTCGGCAGGGGACGCGCGGCGCACTCTTGCCCCCGTCGATGCACTCGATGTGGACCATCCACACGCTGTAGCGCTCGTACATTGTCAGTAGCAGGACGAGGTCGCCTGCGCGGGCAAACTGGATGCCCTCGACCAGCCAGACAGCGCTCGACCAGCTGCAGTCGTCGCCCGCCACACGAACACGGAACCGCGCATGGGGCGACGGCGACGGCGAATCAAACACACTCGGCGCCGGAAGGCTGCCGTACGCCGAGTCCTGAACCAAACATTATGACGTGGCACGTTGTGGGACGATCTCGTGTACCTGAAGCTGCCAGTCGTACGCGATCGTGTCGTTGGCGCCGATCGTTGCACACTCGTCAACGTGGACAAGCGCGACCGCAACAGCGCGCGACAGGTGGTTTTGCAGCGTCACCGGCGGGTACGCGTCTTCGTAGATCGTAAGCACGACGGCGTCGTCGACGGCCACGACGGCAAACGTGAGCATCACGTCGGACCGGGTGGCATCCGAGTGTAAGAGCAAAAGACGCTGCGCACCGCACGGGCGAAGCTCAATCGACCGACGTGACCACGCGTAGCCGGGCGCTGCAATCGCGACCGAGAGCGCACAGTGCAGTCGCGTCGCGTCCAAGGCCGGCGTCAACACCGTTTCGAGGCCGTCGTCCGCAATACTGCTGCCGCGCGAAAGCCGCGTCCGGATCCATTTGAGACTCGAGTGCAACGACGACGGTCGCTCGAGGTGCGTTCCGACGGGCCACACGCTGGCTGCAGGCGCCGCGACCTACCCGACATCGTATAAGGTGATATACACGGGCACATCGCTACCGTTGGGACGAGCGCGTTGGTTTTGGCGGCGAGGAGCGTCGTGGGCAGCAGCTGCAGTGGGTACCGCTATCGACAAGAACGCTCACGATGCATCGCACCCAAGAGAATATCGTACCGACTGATTGCGTACTTGGTAGTGACACGCAAGCGTCACCCGCGCCATGCCGTCGACGATGCTATGGCGCACGACAGCGCTGAGGCAGCAGCCCGGCGCAGATGGCAAACTCCACATGACATGGGACGGCTGCGACGCATAGTTGGTCCACAAGAGCGTCTCGGGTATATACTGCAGCCCCATCGAAAAGCTCGAGATCGCCAGACTGAGCTCGGCCGACGGCAGCACCGTTTGGCGGCAGTCGGGGCCGTCAATGACGATGGCCCACGGCAGCTCGTTGCGAAGAACCAGCGTTGGACGCAAGGCGAGATGCCGCGCTGGCGACGTTGCGAGTCGCGTCAAGTGGATCGTCCCGCACTTTGGCGCGTCGACGCGGAGAACGCCACCCACCGGATACGCTGCGAGCTCATCCCCCTCGGGCGAGGCACACGCCGGGATCGCGAGCGAAGTGCCACCAACCTCGAGAATCTGGGGTTCTTGTGGGTTGTATTCGAGTACCTGCGTCTCTTCGGCGACGGCAAGGCGCTACGAAATGACTCTCAGATGAGAAGTTGCACTGGGTCTCATACCACGAGCGTTCGGCGCCCCGTCGCTTGGTGCAACAGCGACACGGCGGCCGGGACCGCAAGTTGATTTGTCAGCGTTAGCACCGGCCACAAATGCACTTCGAGCCAGGCCCATCGGAGAACGCGGTGCACAGACGCTGCCTCCTTTACCTTTTGGAGACCATAAGCTATCAAATTTTCCTTGAGGTGGAGACGTACGACGTGGCAGGCGGCGCGCTTGATAGCTACCCAGACGTACATGGTACCTGCGTCCCGAGAGAGCACGACAAGCGTGGCTGGCGCCTCGGGCGTCGTCGTCGCTGCCACCGGCGCAAAAGGCGTCGACGTACTCGCAACGAGCTGGGCCACACTCCACGGACGGCCGTTGTCACAGCGCAGAGATACGCGCGTGGACTGGCGCTCGAGGATGTGCGACTGCGGCGACGAGCCAAGGGTGACGGCCACCTCGTTGTTGAGGCGATACTGCAGGCGCTGGTCCAAGTGGTTGATAACAACAACGTCGCCGCGCACGACCACAGTTGTCTCGAGGCCACAGACGACAACCTCAACCCAGATGCCGCCCGTCGGAAGTGGCCGGTGCCACACGCCGCCAGGAGCCCTGATTGGACACGGCGTCGACCAGCCATGCGAGAGCGACCGCGTGAACTGCAGCTCGAACGGCGCTGTGATCGCATGCCAACTGTAGTCGACCGACACGAGACCACGGAGCTCTTGGACTTCGGTGGAGCCCACTTGACGAAACAGCAGCACCGCGTCGATTTGGTTGTGGATGCAAATCCGATACTTGATACGTTTTGTAGGTGGCGATGGCTCGGTGAGCGACTGCGACAACTGCATCATAAATAGCAACGCGTACTGTGTCAGCTGGAGCGTGAGCGCACCCGTCGTTAGCGCCAACGAGAGCTGGGCGGCCTGCTCCAAGACGACCGTCACTTGCCACGGCTGAAGCAGTGTCGTGGTCGCCAGCGTAGTAAGGTTGTGCATCTCGCTGCCGAGAACGCCAGCGACGACGCAGCTATAGCGAGCACTGCCCGCAAACGTCCGAAGGTGGACGCTGACATCCGTAGCTTTGACATGCAACAGCTCGTGCACGTCGTCACCACCATCGTGCCACGCCAGTTTGACTTCGTGGAGGTTGCCCACAACGTGCAGCAGTGGTAACGACGATATGGCAGCGACCGAGCTCACACGCACGGCGTCTCGCAGCTGCGCCGATAGCGCCACGTACAAAGGGAGCGACGAAGCGTCAACGCGCGGTAGACGCCACCGAAGCTCCCACTGAGTCGCAGCCGGCGTCGTCACAAGCGGGTAGTCTCGGGCGTCGAACGAGAGCTGGTAGGCTTCCGACACTTGCGGCGCCACATCGTCGTCCTCGCTCATCCACTGCGCAATGGCGGCCGCGAGCGACGGCGCCGAACCGGTGCGTGGAAGTCCGTCCTCCGCTCCCCACGGCACGTGCACGATACCGATCGAGACGAACGACGACGTCACACTGTCAAAACAGCGCACTTCGCACCGTACATCGCACAAACGACCCTCGATCCGCGGCCAATCGCGTGGCGCGACCGAAGCACGAAGCGGCATCGCCGTCACGCGTGTAAGCTGTCGCGGGGACGGGTACCGCCAGCGCAGCTCCAGGCAGTCCTTGTTGTCGTCGTCGTCCCACGGGCGCGCGAGATCGTTCAAGATGTCAATGAGCCGCAACTCATCCTCGTCCTCGTCGTCATCTTGTGGGGGTGCAGACGCTACGTCGAGCAGCGCCGTCGGCGAGAGCACGCTGCCCGAGAACGTCGCATTCGTCGTCACTGTCTCGGTACACACCAGCTCGCCGGGACGCGCGTGGTGAGCGCGGGGGTCGAGGCGCAGCGTGAGCTCTGCAAAGTCGTGCACCGTCGGCGCCTGCACTGAGACGACATCGTCCGACGCCTTTGCAAAAGACGTGTCCGTCGCGGGGACGGACCACGCCGCACTCCAGCGTTGAAGAAGGCGCAGCGACGCCATCGAGACCGACACGTGCACCGCGTTGCCGTCGAGATGCACTTCGGTCGGGTACACGCGCGTCTCGACGAGCTGCCGGTTGATGAGTCGCAAAAGCTGTTTGACGTCCCCGGTGCAACGCAGGTCGACGTCTCGGAGCAGCGCCGGTGCCTCGGCGACTTGCGCCTGCAGCCGGTGCCATGCTTTGGATCGACCGAGTTGAGGCCCGAGCGCCACCGTGACGGGACACGCGTCATCGAGCACCAAGACGCCGAGGCGCTGCCACGTCACGACGAAGTCCAATAGCTTGACTGGACACCACTCAAACAACGGCGTCGCGGGCCAAGCCGCCACGAGCGCTTGGTCCGTGGCGGTGACCCGCGCATCGAGACTCGCAAAGAGCGCACCCGTGTTGCACACGACGCAGGCACTGGCCGCTGCGATGCTGAGTTGACTGGGGGACCAGAGAAGCTTGAGTGCCGCATGGTCCACGGGGCCGACGCCGGGCAGGCTAAAGCGCGGCAAGAACGGACCCAGCGGCGTCCAGATCGACGTTGGCGATGGAATCGACGACGCCCCGAGTGGGGCGACGACCAAAGCGAGACGCTGCGCCATGGCGACTAGCGCCGGCGACACGTGGCACTGCAGACCTTGCACTTCAACGAGACCCGAGAGCGTGCGATATTCCGAGAGAGACCACGACGCGTGAAACAACTTCTCCGAGTACTTTTCGACCGCAAGCTGCCAGTCGTGCGGGTCCGAGTGCGGCCCGATGACGAGCGCCTCGTCATCTGTCACGACGCGGTGGCCGACGACAACGTTCTTGACCGAGAAGCGGCCGTCGTGGAGCGTGTGGCGGAACGCGACAGGCCCAACACGCAGCAATAGCGTGTCGGTACCCGACTGCACGCGCGCGTCGACGCCATCGATCGAAATCGCGCAGCTGAGCGGTGTCTCAGTCGACGACGCATCGCCCTTGTGCTCAGGCGGCCGCGGCGATCCGTCGGTGACGCGCATCAGGCGGCCGACGCTGTCGACGACCACATGCAGCGCGGGCTCGTCCAGTTCGAGGCCAAGTTTTGTCACGTGCACGTCAATGTGCTTGGATGGCGTCACCTCGATGGCAAGGAACCACGGTGGCACAAGGTAGTCGACGCGGACAAGTGTCAGCGGCGCCTCCGAGAGCGTTGCCACCGCCACCTCGTACGGCGACCGCGCGGGTGCCGCTGTCGCGTCATACTGCACCAGCGCCATGTACACGGCACCAGCTCGCAGCATGGTCTTGGCCTTGGGCGCAACTTGCAGCGCCGAGGAAGGCGCTCGCGGTCGTCGAGAGACAACGCGGAACGGCGGGTGGCTCAGGCCGTCCGTAGGCAGGTCCAAGTGCGGCACAGTCTCGACGGTCGTCGACTCGGCGCACACTGCCAACTGCCGCTCCGCATGCTCGTTGCTCGAAGCCACCGGTAGCAGCAGTCGCATCGACCCGACGTGCACCGACACGTACGGCAGCGCCGTGTCGGACGACGACGCAGATGGCGAGGCGGCGGCGTCTCTGGACGCAAGATTCTTGACCAGCTGCATGCCCACGGTCAGCGTCGGCTCGCTCAGTAGCACGTCGAGGTCTTCGACGCTCCCGAGAAGACACCAGTCGCCCAGCTCGCCCGTGTTGGCGTTGTAGTTGCGGGCAAAGAGCGACAGCCACGGGTCTGGTGACGTGTGCGTGCTTATGATAGGACATTGTGCGCGCACGAGGGACTGAAACTGGACCTTCTCGCAGCACGCCTTGACCAGAAGCGTCGTCTCGCGCCAGAAGGCCAGTGCGCTCGCGGTCGCCGGCGCGAAGACATACCTCGTCGCAGCTCCAAACGCGCGAATGTCCGACTCGTCCAAGCAGAACAAAATGCCCGCGAGGATCTCGGGCGACAAGACCTTGTCAAAGGCCCCAATGCTGGCTGTCGATGGTATTCGTGCCGATGTGAGCGTCTCGGTGCAGGTAACGTCGTGCAACTGCACTTGTAGATCCAGGTATGGCACCTCCGACGGTGCTGCCGGTGTCTTGTGCGGCGCGACTGTGCCCACTTGGGCAGCGAGGAAAAGGTCGGTGAGCGTGCACGCGACATCAATGCCACGACTCTGGAGCGCCAATGTGGTGCGAGCGAGCTCGAGACCCGTTTTCACAGACCACAGCACGGGCGGTGCATCTGCGATGGCCAATGTCAAAGGCTCGGTGGGGCCCGCGGGCGGCAGCGTCGGAATTCGGCCCAGTAAGACCATCTAAATCTCACATTCAAAGCGCACACAGGGCAAACCTTTGTACCTGAAGCGGCGAGAGGGACACGTCGACGGCGCCGAGCATCACTGTCGACTCAAACAAGAGCAAAATTGCAGGCAACGGCGCCGTTCGCGCCGATACATCGATGGCAACAACGACCCTCGTCGCGGCGCACGAGAGCAGTGGCGATGCCAAGGCGGCGACATTCCAAGGCGACACGTCGATCTCAAGCCGGCAGCGACCGCCGCAAGTTGCCCCCCGAGCGTCTTTCAACCCGCTACCGTGACGCTTGAGTCAGGTCATGCAGGAATTCATATCTGCGTCGTACCTTGTGTTGGTCGCGATGCGAAGGGCAGGGGTCGTGAACAGGACATGTCTGGAGAGATGAATTGTAGCGGGCGCCAAGGCCACCTGCAACGCAAGCGTCCACAGCGGCACGTCAACGACAGCAGGTGCCGGGGCATCGGATGGTAAGGCCACTGGGACGTCGACAACCATGGCCAAAAGAGGCAACATGCGGTGCCACTGCGCCTCGAACGACTGCATCTCCCACCGGAGCCCGATGTGGACGATCGAAGGCGGTAGCACCTCGGGTGATCGAATCGCCAGCATGTCGACGAGACTTGGCAGCCACTGCCGAAGTGCCGTCACCGAGACCTCAGCCGATGCCTCGGTGGCGACCCAAGGCACCTCGGCGCGAGACGACTCAAAGATGACGCGACCTCGTCGGCTGCAGTCGACCGCCTCCACCGAGACGGACGCACGTGCCGTCGCCATCGCCAGGTCCTGGCCCGTGACCAGAGACGCTTCCAGTTCGACGCCGTGCATGCCAATGGTAAACGCGTCATGGCAATTCATCGCGTTGGTCACTGTGGGCGCAGCGTACTCGACACGAACGATGGCGCAGACCGTCGGTAGCAAGTTGCTCAGCAGCGTCTCGAGCAGTGGCGTGCTCACTCCCAAGAGACACGACTCGAAATAGGCGTCGGCCGACGCCTGCATGACGTCCGTGGTGTAGCGCAAGTCGAGAGCGGCGTGGGAGAGGTTGAGGACGTCATTCTCATCGACCTGCACGCTAGTGTTCGCGACGGCAACACGCATGTCTTGCTCGCCCAGCATGCTGAGCAGCACGTCGTGCACCTGTAACGACAGCGCATGGCCGTCGTCGAAATGAACCTCCAGCGACAGCGACGTTGCGTGCACGAGGGTCATGGCCATAGTGGCGGCGGTGGCTGCCTTCTCGGGGGCATCTACACATACATGGCATCAGCACCACCCCCATCGTTCTCTGGGTTCATACGGGCCGTGTCCAGACGCGAAAAGTCCAAGTCATTGAGAAACGCCATGTGGGCGGTCAGCGACTCGAGGCGAAGATCGAGATGCATGGGTCCGAGAGCGACATCGATCGAGACGAGTTCGGGCGACGCAACGTGGCGCAGGCGCAACGCCCGGCCGCACGCGTGCCCGAGATGAACGCATTTGTGGCCGACACTGATGGCGGTCCACGTCCGCATGGCCGGCAGGAAGAACTGCTCGAGGTTTTCGAGCACGGGTCGGTCAAGCTCGTACCGCTGCACAAAGGCCTGCGCAAGCAGATGCACTTGACGCCGGAAGCGTGGCGCGGGCACGCAAACGTCGAGGTCGCGGTGCACCATCTCGACGACGTGGTCGACCATGCGGGAGACGTGGGCGTTGCCTTGGTTGTCGACGCAGTCTTGGAGGCGACGAAGACTACTCGTCCAGTAGTCGTCGATCACCGAAAGGGATACCGCGTCGCACGTACACGCCACGGGCGGTGACGCGCCATCGTGCTGCCAGCTGTCCCCCGCCAAGAGGTCGCCAAAGTACGACTCGGATGCATTCGGATGCGGCACACCATACAACACGCGGCTGTCGCCAGCGCGAAGAAGCGTTGGCGCCACAAGCGTCGTTGGCTGGTGCCACAGTACTTCGCGCACTTCCAGCAACGAGTCTTGGCGCGCGCCATCGGTCGACACGCGCAGTAGCACGCACGAGGCCTCGACGACGCCAATGACGTTGGCGGCTTTCGAGACTTTGGTCTTTGTGTGCTGCGAGAGATCGATGGGCACCAAGCCCACATTGGCCACGGGCACAAACTCGACGGCTGCCGCCTCCGCACTCGCGCCCTTCGTGGGACTGGACGCCGTAGCGTCCTCGCCGTGACTCCGCAGCGTCAGCGACGCACTCTGAATCGACACGCGCACCGTCACGATCGACACGGGCGGGTCCTCTGCAATCGTAATGCTGCACTCGGGCAGACTTGGCTCGTGCTCTGGGATTTTCTTCTCGAGCGACGTCAAGAGCTCTTTCTCAAGCTCATCCACCGCGCCGTCGTCGTCGCCGATGATTGCGCCGTAGACCCAGCTCGTCCACGACGAAGCCGGCGCTTCCTGGGCCGGCGCGGGCGGCGGTGGGTTCAAAACAAGAGGTACCAGTGGCTCGCTCGGTTCGCTGGCGCTCGACAGCAGCGGCGATGAAGACGCGCGTACAAGTCGATGCGGCGACGTCGGAGGCTTGGGCGTCACAAACGCAATGAGCATATGCACTTGGCGGTCGCTCAGCGAGACGCAGAGCTCCTTGACGTACACATCGAGCACGACGACGTCATTGCCCTCGAACGAGGCGCCGAGAAATGGATCGCCATGGACGTGCGGCGTGTACACCGACTTGGTCGGCCCAACGCGGTTGGCCGACGGCTCGAGCGCGTACATGCAGCGCAAGGACAGGCTTGTTCGACGCAGAACAGGCACCTACGTTGCTGATGAATGTGCAACAGTCGCACAGGACCTCGGACCTCGTAGCCAATGACTTGGCGATGGATCAGGTCCGAGTCGACGTCGACAGCGACGCGGTCGCTTGTGTACCGATCGAGGAAGACGGAAATGTCCTTGGCGTCGATGCACTAATGACGCGACTCCAACTTCGCGTTCTCGTTGGTACCGTAACGAGGTACCTTGGCAATGGCTTTTTGATCGCCCTTGGGCTCCGCAAAGCCTCTCGGCCATGTTGACGTATTGCCTGCCGAGTAGAGGTCGAGGAGCTACATGTGGACGCGTCAACAAGCCGATGCGAGACGAGACGTACGCCGAGGGTCACCGAGAGCACCATGTCGTCTTCCTCGTACTTGAGTACAAGGTTGTTGATCTAACACTGGGTGTTTGTCTCGGTAAGCAGTCAATAGCTCATACCTGGATCGACACGTTGGCGAGGATCTTGGCCAGCGTCGCTTGCAGCCAGCTCGACTTGGGGGCGTCGATGGGCGTCTCGGGCTCGGCGCTCCTAGGATCGTTCGCATGCATGACACTGCCATGAGCACGTACTTGGACATGTGCGTCGTCATTGTTGCGTAGCTGCCCTCGGACGCCATGCTATTGCGACGCTGGCGGGGAGTGCTCTCGTCCTTGGCCGTCAAGATGAGCTCGACCGTGTAGAGCTTGACCTCGATCGGCTGCGAGAGGATCTGCGTCCATGGAATGTGGATGCGCAGCTCCTGCGTCGTCGGCCATGAGCCGCAGAGGTCGCATGTGCATGTATTACCCGGATGAAGCCGCGCGAGAAGTCAAAGGTCGGCGGCAGGTCGAGCGCCGACTGCAGCACGTGACGCTTGATCTCGAGGTCGTTGAGGACGAGGTCGTTGCCGAAGAAGCCGAAGCCCTCGAGGTGGATGTCCTTGAGGTACTTGGAGAGGTAGAACTGCAGGGTCTGCGCGAGGTACCCCTTGAGCGGCGACGACAGGATGTCTAGCATCCTTCGCCCGCTTCGATTCGCGCAAATGCAAGTCCATTGCCGAGACTTTGAGCCAATCACACTGCAAGACCAAGCATTTTAACCAATCCAAACACTGCATTTGCATTTTAACCAATCCAAACACTGCATTCTTTCACAGCCTGCGCCGGAGACGACAATGGTGGCCCCAGGACTCGGTCCGTTGGCGCCACCATTGTCGTCTCCAGCGCTGGCTCACAAAGCGCCTTGTGGTCACCAACGGCAAACAGTGTTCTTGCCGAGCGACGAAACAGTGGATGGTGGATTCCGGTACTTTGTATGAATCGTCGCAGCTGACGCATCTGC